GAAAGAATTGATCAACCACCCTGTCTATGTTTTGTTTTTGAAGACTCCTGATATTATATTTCATTTTTTTTTTCATTTGGAAATGCACTGCTCAACATTTTTGTTTAAATTGGAAATGTACTGCTCAACGCTTTCAACATGCATTAAAACATATGACTATCCTGCATTTCCTGAGCATTATGACTATTGTGAAGAGCCACTGGTTACAGTATCATTGATCTACATTTATTGATGAGCTGGCAGTGTGTTTAATTCTCTCAATGCTAGATTGGAACTTTGCTCCTGTTTCCTTTGCAAACCTAGTTTTTTATATAACAGGCATTTTAAAATGGCAAAAGCTTGTTTTCACTTCTTCTGTTTTTATTGCTCTCTTTTATGTTAAGGGATGTGGTATTGTAGAGGTATATAAGAATTCCCTTATTTAGACTTCATTCTAAAATAAAATAAACTCACTGTCTGATTTCTTCGCGAGGTCTGTTAAACCCAGAGATTAATCTGTTTTTTCAACAGCAAAATATCTTTAAGTGAAATCAAACTTCAGAGCGGAAGAATACTCTGATACATACTACTTGAAGGGAAAATCCTTTATTATAAATCCGAATGAAGTACTAGTTCTTGGGAAAAAGAGTTTATTACTTAGAAGAGTTTAAGTAATGTGCACAAGATGTGCAGGTGCAGCATGTATGGACTTTAACTTGAGTTTTAATGTGTTGACACTCAACAGAAAATGTTCAAGGCCAATTCATCTTCCATGATGAAAGTTTTGAATGGAGGAAGGACCTGGACATGGTCCAGTACAACAGACAGCCCACTGTTCTGTAAGATGTTTGTGAGGAAAATAAAGGTCCCATCAGTGTTGCCCATGAAAGGACAACTCTGAGCTTCAAAAATGCAGAATTCAAAAAGAGATCTAAAATTCAATTTTTTATTATATCTTCATTATCAATTAAAGCAAAAAATGTGAATGTTTATACATTGATCACATTAAATTAATTTTCTTCCACTATGTAGCTATTATAATCTGAGTAAAAAAGATATAAATGAGCACTTGGCTTAAAAAACACAGAACTTGTGTCAAAAATTATGTATGCAAGCAATGAGTGGTCCTTTGAGTCACATATTAAAATGTTTATTAAAATTACTAAAATGTCTTGGCTGACATTTTAGATTGTATTGAATAAAAAGCCTTTCTGAATCTCAGACTCCCCAGTTACTCATCGCGTTGGAACTGTGAACTATGAGCATGGAGAGCTGGGTGAGTGTAAGTTCAATTCCGGGAACTTTTGACTAACAGCTCCGTTACAGTATCTGTCCAATTGTCCTGAAAGTGGTAGACTATGTAGCATTTATTGAATAATTCTCTAGACATTCTCATTTTCCATCAGATTTGGTGGTCCTGAAGACCCAGTTCTGACTTTTAATTATCAGGTAAAATTATTAGGTACTGAATAAAAAATAATCTTCTCCCTCTGAGACAAAAAGACATTTAACTTTTGTTTGGTTTACACTAACTCTTTTAAATAACTCTTTTACAAGACCTTTGTATATCGTATTTTAATATTGTAAGTATTACTGTAACCGTAGATGCTTTTAACTGTGCTGAGGCCTTGCAATACTAAGATTGTGAAACTTGTCAGTATGTTTAGGAGAACATTTAGGAGTAAAGTATTGCATTCAGTGTAGAAGTGCTTAAAGTGTTTTCCCCACTCATGAGGGTTAAAGATGCATGGTTCTTACGTCATTAATCCACGAGAATGAGAGGCTTGATTGTCCACTGCTTCACAGTGTGCATCTGAACAGGTGGTGCTAAAGCTGTACAGGTAAGCGGTTCAGAGCCCGCACAGTGACATTTCTCAAGCAGAGGTGATGTTTACCTGTCCTATAATTGTCTCTCACCTGCAGTCACTTTGTTTCCAATACAAAGGTGAAGCAGTGCCACTGGTATTTTTCTAACAACAGTTATTAATATGTGCTAATTGTCTTTGAACAGAAGGTCTTAAAATACACTTTTAAAACAAACTTAATACAAATTTTAGGGTGTTGATAGCACTTATATTTTTTTTAGAAAAGTATTTTCAAGGTTACTTTAATTAGATCTGTGTAATCACTATTGATCATGACTGACTGTAGTTTGTCATATGTAAACAAGATGGTTTTTCTAAAATTTTGACAGTGGGTTTTTTACCTCATGAGTTATGACTCATGTTATAGAATTACACAGCAAGGCCTCAAAGAGCACTGATGCAGGCGTAACTTAAAGTAACTGAACTGATAGGAATGTGCTTAACTATATGGCATGTGATATTCAAGTAAGAACAAGCTAGTCCATTGCTCCCTCCAATGGCGCCAGTGATGAGAGTTACACCCTTAATCAGCCGGAAAGTACAATTCATACCTGGTCATTGAAAGCACTATAATCTGCTTTGCAATATTGTTTGTTCACTGGTCTCTGATAAAGGTGCATTTTATCACTAGCATTGATTATTAATTAAAGCATAACTTTTTGGTCAAGGTTGTATTCATCTTTTAAACCCAAGGTCTCTGGGGTTACTATCATCAAGTTGTTCTATGATTCTGGCAGCCTAGGTCTTTCCAGATGTATTTGTTATATAAATAAAGATGATTTACAGTATAATTGGTCAGTAAGGCAAATTCAGCTTTGAGAAAAAACACTGAAGAGCATGATTCTGGCAGGACAGTATACCTACAATGTTTAAGTTGTTCCATTAATAAAATACTTAATTGAATGGTTAATGTGTCTTTTAAAATTAAGAGCTGGTGATGTTCAGATCTAATAACTGATTACGTTTCTTTTATGGTCAGCATTTTCATTTTTTGTATAATACATAGCATTGTTAAATGTTATGCACATGTGGAAGAACTCAAAAGCTCTGTGTAGATTAGCCTTCAAATCAGGTACCTTGGTTGTTGTAAATCTCTGCAGGTAGCAGCAGGCTGAAGATACAGCATGTGTTACAAACAAATGCAGTGATTTTAAATAACTTTGAAAGATGTCAAAGGTCACATGTTGTTTAAAAAGGTCTTGTAGAAGTTCCTGAAGGAACCTGCCCATATTATAATTACACCTGATGGACAGGAGATGCTGATCTTCTTCTGAAATTGTTTGGTGCTTGTATGTTTCAGTGTGCCCTGTCCATGTCGAACTTGAGTTCTGCGTGTTCAGTCTGCAGGTGGCTCACTTATTTAGTTAGAACCATCTCATTTGTTTTGTTACACAGAGATATAATCATACCGGTTTCTTGTTTTTCACATAATCAATTGATATTATTTAGTATAGAGTTTTTTTGCCTCATTTGTAAATAAGCCCACTGTGCTTTTTTCCTTGTTTTAAATTGTGGCAAGCAAAACATACAAGTTTTACAAGCTCCCTGCTCCTTATTGTTAATTAATTTTGCCAGCTAGGTGAATGGACTTTCTGTAGCACTACTTAAACAATAATGTTTTTGTTCAGAGGTAATTTGTTTTCACAGAAGTGCTTATTTTAACAGGAACACACCCTGGCATTTGCTGTTTCTGTAATAGGTAAACTGGCCCCACAGGGAGACTAAGCTATGTAATTATTTCATGGAGCTATTTCACAGTGACTTTTATAGTGGTGGTACATGTATTTTTCAATGAAGTAATTGTCTTGGAGATATGTCCACAATGAGATCCGAGCTGGAATAATGAAGCGGATAAAGGGTATCATTTCCATCTGGGGCCGGGCGTTAAAATGGACGATCAGGGTAGGGCCACAGAGGGACACAGGCCTTTCAGCTGCTGTCAGTGTGGCACACAGCAGGCTAGCTGTGACCTGCAGCTCTGGGGTTCCTGAAGGGGATCATTTTCATTAGAGTATTTCAATCAGCACTGAGTTGCTTGTTTCATGCAAGAATTAATAACTTAATTACCTAATTTCTTTATTTATACCACTGAATCTTTCTCCTGTACTGTACCTCATCATGAAAATAATAGGACTTTTTTGTTTTACAAAACTTACATAATCTTAAAACTTTCACTTAAAATCGTACATCTGCTGTAATGTTATGTAAAGCACAGTTTCTTTATTTTATAACAAGATGGTAGAATCACATTAAGCAAATATTATGCTTCAGTGCAGTTTTTGAGGATCTTGCGTGTTTTGCTCTTTGGTGCTTGTTGTTTCACATCACACCTGGTATAAGTGAAGTCCATAACGCGACAGTATATGATAGGGCTTTGTGTGCATGAATTTCGTCAGTGGCTTACTTTCCTCGCGTGTTGCCTGTATGAAACCAGCAAGGAATTTAAATACTTTAACAACAGCGACATCTGCTGGTGTAACAGGGAAAATGCCAGAGTGCTTGACTATAAGAACCGTTGAGGAAGATATCTGCAGGTTTTGACGTGTTGGAAAATTTGAAGACCTTTAAAATAGTGTGATCAAGGTTCAATCAAATGTGAACAGTAATGTGTTTTTATGAGGTAGTGATAAATCTAACAAAGTGCATTTTGTAATAAAGTGCATTTCATTTAAATAAAAAAGTCTTGTTTTAATTAGAAATTTGATGTAGGATTTTCTACATTAATTTTCAGAGATCAGAGTGGCCTTGCATATTGGTATGAATCAAAATCTATTGCTATGCTACACTGATTTTAAAACATAATAGCATGAAATCTGAGATTTTCTTCCCTTGTGTTAGCGATTAATCGTACAAGACGAGGACCACCGCTGCCCTTTGCAGACCGCAGAGCGTGGGGGATGCCTGTACCACCCACACCCCACTGTAATTCTAGCTTTCCCACTTCCTATCACCTGCAGACTAATCTTTTTTCTCTGTTGCAAGGACCTTTTTTTACGAAAGACAGGTAGTTTGGGAAGCTCTAAAAGAGGCTGTTGTGGCTATGATGTGGTGCTGCTTTACTGCTATGGTAGACCTGTACTAGTGCTGTAATGGGCCAGTTTGCTGCTGTCCGATTCTCACCCAGTGTCTTTCTCTCCCTGCTTTTCTCTCTTGCAGTCAATGAGATCATTGGCAGAGACATGTCCCAGTCGCCTGGCTCTCATGGTACATCAGGCACGCACACCCAGTCCTAGCCTTCCTGCCGAAGACACGGCCCAAGCACAAGACAGGATCCTCTGTCCCACCTGATTCACCATGTGCTTCCAACACTGTGGCCTGTACCAACTGGAACACCACAGCTCTGTGGCTCCTCAAACCACACACCCTGCGCTGAAAGGAGCTGAGATACCAATGCGTGGCGAATGTGTGTGCTTGTATGGTTTGTGCACACAAAATGTTACCATGAGGCTGTGGGTGTCCTCAGTCAGCTTCATTCTAGATTGGTGCTTCACTGAATTACACAATTTCTGTGAGGCTGCCTGACAGTGCACAGGGCCAACAGGCACACCAGTGTACAGCGGGAAAGAGGCTGACGCCCTCTCCCAGAAGCTGCCACACTCTCGCAGCTCACAGTCTGAACCTCTTTGAAGCAAGTTACCTGGTAGCCACAGTCTCAGTTTGCCGTTTTGAAAATCTGCAAGGTAGCTAGAAAAAACGAATGCATTGAAAATCACATCAAAAACTGGCAAATAGTTTCCATTTTAAAATTACGCCAGTTGAGTCTAGTCCATTTTTTGAATGTGTAGGTCGTTAAAATTTCTCCCTGACCTTACTGTTTGAATTATTGTTGATCAGCTGTGTTTTAGTATGCCTGATGATGATTGTGAGGTTTTTGTGTCTTCTAAGCATATAGATACACTATAAGTAAAAATCTTGCGTGATGTGCTTATAGCAGCATTTAAATCAGGCTGTTGTGACTGGAGCGCTAGTATGCAGTGTGGTCTTATTACCTTGCTGTAGGTGAGGCAGTCGGGATAGGGGTGAGGTTCCTGAGGCTAGGGTTCTGCTGTCCTCATGTTAAAGTCTCTTTCAGGACATAGAGTGCTTCAGACAGCAGCTATGCTATTCCCAGGGGCCTGAGATGCTGGGACATTGACGGTTTTAAAACACACTTTGTATCATATTTTTGTTCCTTTAGAGCTTTTGCCCTCTAGTGTCTTTTAGGATGTGGGGGCATAGTAAATCCTTCCTGACTCTTCAAGTTGTCAGCCAACACCCCATAAAGTTTTAGCTTGAGCATAACGTAGCCAAATGTAGAACCGAACTTATGTCAAAGCTCACTGTACACGCGTGTGTGCACAGGTTGAAAAATAGCCATGGGTTTGAATATGAAACAGACCATTCCATCATGGAGCTGCACTGGGATTTGTACAATGCCACATTCCAGACTTTAAGTATTTTTAAAATTTGTAGATATTTTTTCAGTACTTCAGGTAGCACAAATGCCTTATAAAGATAAAATAGCTTTGAAAAAAAACATTAAAAGCTTTTAATAAAAATAGATTTTTTGTATAGGAAAACTTTGAGCTGTGTTTAAGCTTTAAAAACAATTAAAAAATTAGTCAAAGCTATTTTTAGATGTAGATATTTTCATAGTTTTGCAGAGAATTGTCAAGCTCTTATGATGTGCATTGATCACTGTTAGTCCCACAATAACTGTCAGTACATAATTTCCTTGAATTAAGAAACAGCCATAAAATAGTGTTTATTTCAAAATGCAGTAACTAGTTACCTTCCTAACATGTCAAGATCACAGAAAGTTTGAATTCTGAAGCAGTTGGCCAAAGTTTGCCTTTGACAGCTTGCTGTCAGATGGCCTATAGTATTGGTCAACTCCTTTCTGTGATTTGTTTCAGCCATGCAATATTTAATCCTGGTGTACAGGAACATTTAAGTGTGCCTTTCAGTTTAAACAAACATTAGTGTACTTAACTGTAAGTAATTAAAAGGATGACCCTTATGTCTGTATAATAAGCTGGAATTAAATACAGGCAAAATGATAGAAAATATTTAATTCTATGAACAATATAATGCTAAGCACAAAGAACAAACATCCCACTGCATTACTACTGCATTCATTTTGAATCTGTTCAACATCACTTTTCCTTCCCTTGGCCTGTGAGATTCTCCAGTAATTTTTCATTTGTGTTATGTTAGAAGGTAAACATTAAACAGTTCTACAACAATACTGTGTGACATGTGAAAATAACTAAGAACCTAATGTTTAAATAATGCAAAATAAACTAAATAACATGGCTACTAATAGTTTCAAATAAATGTTTGTCTTAAGAAATAAGTAAAGCCATTGCAACAAAATTTTAATCAATGACAATAACAGACATCTATCAAGAATTTTTACATGATAAAATTTGACTGGACATCCAAGTGTCAATAATACAAGCAAGTTAAAAATGTGTGATGCTAAAAAACTACAAACAAATCTGAAAAAAATATAGAGAAAGGAAAAGGATGTTTTTTTTTCAGAAATGCTTGTGTGCATTGTAGCCTCAGTAAAATTTTACAGCATTAAAATCGCATGGTATTGTAGGCTAGATTTCCTAGTGAAGGCTAGTTCCTGAGATTTGTTCAGGATTAATTGAAATAACAGATCTATGCAGGATTGGGTTGATTCTCTGCCTTAACCTTATTTAAAATTATACTGTTGCATGTATATTTTTTATATTAAAAAATGGTGCAACCATTTTCGAGTTCTTTTCATAAATCCTGAAATTGAGTGGTGGTGACGCAGTGCTGTCCTGAGTATGGGTGCCCGTACAATCATGAAAAATCAAACTTAAAAAACGTGAGAAAACTGCTATGCACTAAACCTGTATGATGCCTTTTAAAAAAAACCTTGATGCCTGTAGACCTAGAAATTGTAGAGACGCTTTAATATATTACTATATAAATACCTAAACATTTGTAGTCCTGTATAAGAGTAAAGTTTTTTTTTCTTTTTATGTATCTGCCTTGTTAAGGATTCAATACAAGGGTCTTAATAGATTTATGTGTGCGCGTGTGTGTTCCTGGTTATTTCTAGATACAAGACTGTTAACATACTTTCTGAAATTCAGTGTTGAAGAAGCACACAAATGCATTGGGCTATGCAAACTAAGATCACAACAGTACTTTGAATTCTGGCACACTGTTGGCATCCTGTTTGTGTAAAAGTATACAGTTGCAGATTAACTTATTGACACTCTTTGCTAAACTCGGTTCATTCACTAGGGATCTTCACTCCTGTTCCTTGATTATGGATCCATGCGAAATACATTTTGGAAAGATATAATTGATGAATAAGTATAGTTTAGTAACCAATATTGATTCAAGTTCATTAATTGGTAAATAACATTGTTTCAAATATAGAGGTGCCAGTACTTTCTCTGTGAATGTATACATATATACACCTGCACATACATTTGTGTACTTATATATATTTATATATACACATTTACGCATAGAGAAAGATGCCTCTGTTCTCTGAAAGATGTGCTGTTTTTTGTTTTCTGACTTTTTGATAAAATAAAAACAACTGTAGGAAAGCCTTAACACTTGTAAAGTTTTAAAACTACTAATTTCTGAGTCAACTGTGTGTAATCTTTTCTGTGGATTGTTTTAGGAAGAAACATGTAAAAGTGGTACCAGGTGAAAAATAAAAGATGAGAGATGGCGGAGTGTTCAGATCATTAGGCTGCACCTCAAGATGTGGAGGAAGTAAGCCAGCCTGCAAGTTCCCCCTGAACTGTGTCAAAAAGGAACTGTAGTCCTTTTTATTACCAAAGATTTCAAAAATAAGATGTATTTCATGGTTTGAGACAAAAAGAAAAAACTTGCTTTAAAAACTCTATTTTTGATACTCTAAGATGGATGTCATTCCTAAAGGTCGGGGTGGGGGGAGTAAAAAATAGTTTGTAACATAAAAGAAGGGAAATACAGGTTAAGAATTCTTTTAGCTAATGTTTACAGAGCCTTGTATTGTAATTTCATGTACATTTTGTATTTTAACATTTTGTAATTTTTAAGATTGCAGTGCTTTTTGGAGATATTCAAAGGGAGTAGATATCTTGCATTGTAGACTCGCAATTGGTAGTGTAAAAATAAAACTTCAAATGCAGAAATACCTCCATGTGTCTCCACTGTGTGTGAATGTCCACTAGATCCTGCACATCACTGGGGCGCAGCTGAGGAGGCTGACGGTGGATCAGTAAATGCTGGCTGTCAAGAAGACTGAATTCAGAGGCTTAACAGAATTTAAACCACTGCAGTTAACTGTGGTTCCTAATTACTTTTTAGGAATGATTTTATGAACAGTGAAATGGTTATGGTTACTGTTAATACAGCCATAAGTCACTTGAAAATGGGACATTTCTTTGTGAAATGTGTTCAAAATTTGTTATATTCCAAATTCATTTTTAATTAATTTAAATTAAAACACTTAAATAAGCCACCACAGTTAAGTTTAAATTAATGCCTGTTACTGTGTATAGGGTTCTCCTAAGGACCTAATAACTGTAGACCTAACACCTGTGTTACACTGTGTATCTGAACCATATTAGTTGTTTTTAAATCATCTAGAACAGTTTAATACTGTTCCATCTACACTTCAGAAAATTTAATACTAGACTCAAGACTCCTTCAGGGTACTCTACAGTTCTGAATTGGATCTTGTCTTGTAGTATGGCTAGTCGGAACGGTTCTGTAAATCTGTGACCTCCAGTATCCCAAAATGCTTGGTTATTTTAGCTGCATGGATTCAAAGTGGAAACAAGTCCATTAGCTGTTTTGAAAAACAGGACAAGAGTGATGTGGTCTAATGCTAAACAACATCTTTCTCCCCCAGTAATGAAGGTAATCAAGCAAAGTCCAAAGCGGAGTCCCAGCTTATCATTGTTATGGGGTCAGTAGCATTAGTAGACAAGAGAGCACATGACTCCCCCCTAATGGGACAGCGACCCATCGCAGGGATCACCCCACCTATAGAGCTGGGTAGACTGGAGCCACTGGGGTACAGCACGCTACTCAAGGTACAACAGCAGTGTCTGCAGCAGGGACATTAACCCACAGGGGTTTGCCAGCAGCTGTATCACCCTGCAGCTCATACCTGGTAACCCACTGAGCCTGGCCAGCACATGGATGGGAGACTTCTGAGAAAGCTGAGGTTGGCGCCATACTTCAGATGAGACATAAACCGAGGTCCTGATTCTCCGAGGTCATTAAAGGGATGCAGTCCCAATTTCTTAGACCTGTTATTAAATCTTGGTACCAAAATTAATTGAAGGTATCACGAAACTGAGCTTTGTGAAAGTACTTTCATAGTTGTCATGTTGTTGAAAACGCCTGGTCTCATCACAGGCGAGAGTTCACATGAATTGCAACATGATGCGGCCCTTCCTGCTCACTAGTCACTGTAATGGCTATGTACTAATGTGACTATGTGATGAGATGTACAAGCAAATAAGTACAGGTTGTGCAGCAGATATTTCACCACAGAAATGTTCCAAGGTGATCTGTATGCAGAGTTAACAAGTAAGTAGTAGTTGTCTGCAAAACCATCTCAAAGTTGTCAATGTTTCTTTGGGTTTAGAGATGTATGCACAAGCCTGTTTGTTTACAGTGCTATCTGTCACCGGACGTTTTGTTGCCTCGTTCTGAATCGCAGAATATGGCATTGCAAATACCTAGAAACCTGGAGGTTTTCAACATTACTGTACACTAAAGCTTTACATTTCAGTAAAATGCACTCATCAATACCGATTCAAAATATAAAAATAACATTGCAGTTGCACTTTAAATTCCCAAGGCATTTCTCTGTATGTCCTAACCTAATATAGCCCTGGCCTTTACCAGTCATGGCCTCCTACTAATCCCCATCTCTGAACTGGCTTCATTACTTTGCTCTCCTCCCCATTGAGAGCTGGTGAGTGAGGAGTGTACTGGTGCACTATGGCTACTGTCACATCATCCAGGTGAGGCTGCACGCTAGTGGTGGAAGAGAGTCCCCATTACCTGTCAAGTAAGTTTCAAGTATTATTATTATAGTCCAAAGAATTACCTGCTAAACAACATTTCCACCAAGTGAAATGTGAATTTGTTTATAAAATAGTGTACGTACAGCAATGAGGTGTGTGTGACACATTTGAATATAGAAATACGACAGGCCTGTAACTACTGAGTTATTTGAAAAACACACTCATGGCTTCTCAGAAAGTGCTGCTTTTGCAATTTCACCGTCTGTGAAGCATGAGTGCTGTCGGGTTGTGGTCACAGTCACCAGTTCCTGCTTACTGACCACTTGACCAGCTTCTCTTGTGGTCAAAAGGAAAACATGGTTGCCACTGAGATGACATGTGACTCATTTGAAATTCTTTAACAAAGTTTAAAATTGTTGACATTTGGGGAGAGCTTTTTGGTGAAAGGAGATTGATGGCAGAACAGAAATGCAAGATATTTTTTTTGCTTTAAAAATTTAGAAAAATAACCCCAAATTATTTGCTATATTGTGAAAGAATAGTAAGGTAAGTGATGAGTCATGTAAACTTCATCTGTGACTTTTGTGTCATGGTCGAGATCAAACTGCACAGCCTCTTAGGGTCCTGAATACCTGAATCTGTGTGTGTTCGCATCTTAACTGGTGTTGAGAAAGTTAGTTCATTTGATTTTCCACACCTTGTGTGTAAGGAGTAAGGACACATGAAACAAGTTTTTTCAGCTTCTGAACAAAAATACACTTAATACTTTGCATTCTGTTTTGCTTTATCATTTTAAGTCATTCACTATTTGTGAATTTCACACAACTATGTTCCAGAGAAAACTGACGCTGCGATTTTGAAATGTTTTTTCTTTGTAGTGTTGCATCAGTCTTGCTTTTTGTTTTCCTGTTAGTGTCTTCTATTACTCACCAGATCATGTCACTTGAGTTTCAAGATGTAAGATTAGGGAAGCAGAACTGATCCTGAATTTTGCTGACGGAGAAAGAAACTGAGTCAATCTTTCCTTGATTCGTGCTTGAGGTTGACTTTGTCTCTCCTCACTTCGCTCTTGTAGTCAAGATGAACACCACCTCTTACAACTTCAGCTCCAGTGATGCCTATTCGGCTCCAGGAGGTTCACTAATCTGTGTGATCCTGGGTCTGTGTTTCCTGGTTGGCGCTCCGGGGAATCTGCTGGTGATGTGGACCATCCTGCGCCACGTGCGGCCGCGCTCCCACACCGTGCTGCTCATCCTCAATCTGGCCGCGGCCGACCTGCTGGTCCTCATCACCGTGCCCATCTGGATCTACTCCTTTGCGGCCAGCTGGGTGTTTGGAGAGGCCGTGTGCAAAGCCATAGTGTACATGATCTACTCCTCCATGTACAGCAGCGTGTTCCTCATCTCCAGCCTGAGTGTGGAGCGTTTCGTGGCCGTCCTGTACCCTTTCGCCCTGCAGAACTGGAGACGGAAAGGTGTGATGACCAAGGTCCTGGTTGCCATTTGGATACTGGCCTTCATGTTTGGGACTCCAGTCATTCTAACACATACTGTTGGGGGGGCAAACGGGACACAGTACTGCACTTTCCAAGAATTCTCTTCGGACAGCCAGGAGATGGTTTGCCTGGTGCTGGAGACTTTAGTGGGCTTTGTCATTCCTTTCTCTGTTCTCTCCATATGCTACACCTGTGTGGGGAGACAGATAAGGCAGCTAAGCTTCAAAACCAAACAGAAGTCTGCGGTCCTGATTGTCAGCGTTGTCATCGCCTTTGTCGTGTGCTGGTTCCCTCACCACGTGCTCAACATGATCCGCCTGGCCTCCTTACTGCAAGACCATCCGGAAGAGCTGGAGGAATTTGTGCACAATGCAGTCTTCATTTTCGGAGCCCTCGCTTTCGTCAGCAGCTCTGTTAACCCTGTGCTATACGCCTTCGCTGCTCGCCGCTTCCGGAGCGGAATGAGAGAGTCCAGGCTGACCAAGCTGTTCCAGGAGATCACCACCCACACCTCTGGAGCCAGGGGTCCAGCCACCCTTTCTTCAGGCAGGTCAAACACGTGCAACCTCGCTCTTGAGTGCAAGACATCAGCTTCAGTTTGATCTTCGCTGGAGATGGCCGCCTCTTCTCCTCCAGGGCTTCACCTGCAGATGTAATTCCTCTGCTAGAATGTAGCCTGCAGGGTCTGTCTGGGTCTTCACTGGCTTCTTTAAAGGTGGCTCAGGACTATGGAGGCCTGGAAGCCAAGAGGAAGCTGCTTCTTGTGAATGTGACCACAAAGAGCTCTGTACCATCTCCCCAGGCAGAGCGGCTCTGGAGGGGAGGGGAGTGCGCTGGTTTACTGCAGGAGCATCCAAGATACTGAGGATTAGGAGCACTTTGTAACTGTGGATGCTTGGACTAGATGCTCAAAATGAAAAAGGTGCAACTTTAGCACTGTGCTAAATGAAAAGAAAAGTAGGAGGTTTATTGCAGAACCTCTTGTAAACTGAGCTGCATCATTTTTAAAAATGCAAAAAAACACCACGATAATGGTTTTAAGCAAAGGCTTTAGTAGATTCTAGCTACACTTGTGTTTTTAGAAATCCAGAGAACAGAATGATTTTTATAATTTCACCTCAGAGAAGAATAAAGTCTACAAGCTACGTGTATTTTGTACGTAGGAGATAATCATGTCTTCCAAAATTATGGAGAGGAGTGAAATTGACAGATGTTTCTGAAGTGACTTGCAAGTTTATAAACACTCCGTACAAATGTACAAAGATGCAATACTTCATATCTTTTATGGAGACAGTTATTCCTTTATGTTTAGTTCTGTTTTCCCTAAGTGGTTTAAGTACTTCTGTGCCTTGTTTTTTATTAATCTTCTTCTCTTTTATTGTTTTTTTTTCCTGATGTGGTCAACCAAGCTGTCTTAGAAATGCTATGGCTCTTGTTTTATCATGCAGGGTGCATCCTGTTGTATTTTTAGTGTGTAAGTGGAAATCTTTTGGAATCAGACCAACTTTGCAACCATCACTCTGCAAATATTGCATTAAAGTAATGCGAAATGCTGGAAGTCTGAAGCTGTCCCTACAGTTCTTTCCTGCAGTGTATTGTGCAGTCATCTGTCAGCAGCTAGACAGTTTGGTCTCTGAGACCAGTGAGCAGGCACATGCTTGTCCTGACTGTGACAGGATGGGACAGTCTCACAAGAGAGGACCTACAGCCTGGTGAAAGTGTGCATCTCAGATGTGTGGCTAGTACCTTTTCCAGCACTGGCCACACACTCTATTAACCTGTGACTGTCACAGTAGACCATCATCAGTTTGACTAGGATGAATGATAATCTGGATAAGGAGTTTGTCTACATCAGTGCATCTGCTACAAAAAAGATTAGTTGTTTTCCTGATTAATTGGTGAATTTGTTGCAGTTATAGCTCATTGTTATCTTCTACTCAGTACATATACAGTACTGTTAATCTACTGTCATCCATCCATTTTCATTAACTACTTAGTCCAGTACAGGATCTCAGTGAGCCAGAGTGTAACCCAACAGCCAAAAAACAGGTACAAAACAGGATCCACCCTACACTAGAAGACAATTAATCACAGAGCCACACTCATAAAGGCGGGCAATTAACAAAGAAATGACAACTAACCTGTACAGCATTCTGGGGGGACACTGGGGACTCGAGTATAACTTTATAAAAAACATGCAACTTCTCCCAAAATGCATACCTGTTCAAAGTCCATCCCAGAACTCAAGGGTTGTCTGAAAGCAACACTAATCCCCATGCTGCCAGGCTGCTCTTTATGTTACAGTATATAACATTGATATATATAATGAGCAAATATAAGTAAATGAGTGATAACAAGAAATAAAAATGAAGTCTGATAAATGACAGTTCACAGGAGCTGCACAGAAAAGAGATGAATTACATTGAATGTCTGTACATGTTTTTGGACTAAGCAAATGAGTGCTGTATTGCTGCCTATATTTTCTCCAGCTGATTCTCTACACCCAGTCTGCTGCAATGCTCTAGGCCTCTCCCAGCCCAGAGTGTTGACTGTCCTGTATGGGACTCTTGTTGTGGAGGTCTCTAAGGGTTGACTCATTGTCTCTCTCTCTCTTTCGCTATGATTTAAAATTGGACTTTCTCCTCTTTGCGTCTGAGTTAGATTAAAAGGGAAGTTGAAGCTGCTTGCACTGCATTACTTCCCTGCTTTGCTTCAGGAGTCAGACGACGCAGAATGAACAGCTCCACCACCCATGGAGACAATGAAATGGATCCAGAAGAGCTGTCCTGGCAAAAGGCTCTGACATGTGTGATCCTGGGTCTGTGTTTCCTGGTTGGCGCTCCGGGGAATCTGCTGGTGATGTGGACCATCCTGCGCCACGTGCGGCCGCGCTCCCACACCGTGCTGCTCATCCTCAATCTGGCCGCGGCCGACCTGCTGGTCCTCATCACCATGCCCATCTGGATCTACTCCTTTGCGGCCAGCTGGGTGTTTGGAGAGGCCGTGTGCAAAGCCATAGTGTACATGATCTACTCCTCCATGTACAGCAGCGTGTTCCTCATCTCCAGCCTGAGTGTGGAGCGTTTCGTGGCCGTCCTGTACCCTTTCGCCCTGCAGAACTGGAGACGGAAAGGTGTGATGACCAAGGTCCTGGTTGCCATTTGGATCCTGGCCTTCCTGTTCGGAATCCCAAGCCTTCTAACGCACACTATCGGAGAAGAAAACAAGACTCAGCAATGCACTTTCCAGGAATTCTCTTCGGCCAGCCAGGAGATTGTTTGCCTTGTACTGGAGACCTTAGTGGGCTTTGTCATTCCTTTCTCTGTTCTCTCCATATGCTACAGCTGTGTATGGAAAAGGATTAAGCAAATGACTTTCAAGTCCAAGCAGAAATCCACAGCACTCATCCTGAGTGTAGTTGTTGCTTTTGTTGTGTGCTGGCTTCCTCACCATGTGGGCAATGTGCTGTCTCTGGTGCATCTCTCACTGACGGAATCCCATCCTCAAGCTGCAGATCGGGTGGAAGATATCAGGCTGTCCATGCAATTCCTCTCCGCAGCTCTGGTCTTCCTCAGCAGCTCCGTTAACCCTATGCTGTACGCCTTTGCAGCACGGAATCTCCGAAGCAGCTTCCAGGCGTCCAGAATTAAACAGCTGTTCCAGCACATCTCCAGCTCTACAGTCAATGAAGGGACGAATGAGCTCTCATTTGTGTCCAGAAAGCAAATCTCTCAGACTGAGCACACCAGCTGCAGCACAGCCTCGGAACAGCAGCTGGCTCTTTAGTCACAGTGTCTGCTTTCTATGGTACGTTAAAGCTTTTCTTTTTATAGTGTCATTGTACCACGCAGCTTTTGGACAGCATGGATTATTTCCAAGAGCTATAATGAAGTAGGTATTCACAACGTTTCACTCAGTGACCTATAAAATTATCATAAATATAATTGTAACTTGGCCAGGTATACAATTAAGACTTATTCTCTGTGTTAAGTATGAGGATATAAAGAGTCCTGCAGACATAAAAACATTGAACTTAATCGGAATAGACAGTAAACTGAAATCCTTCTAAGATATTAGGAAGTCTGAGGTTCAAAGTTTTCATCAGAAAGCTGTTGCTTAACTCTAGAGGTTTATTTTAGAGCACGTTCATACTCTAAGATAAGGTTTCACATTGTGCTGAGATGCTGACAAAGAGCTTCATGTTGTGTATGATCTTACAGCATTAGCACTGAAATCTTCAACATGTTTTACAACTGCTGCCAAAATTAGAGCTGTGGCTGTCCTATTTCCCAAAACAATTTATTACCCTGCAGCTATTGTTATGTAAGTTAATATTTCTCATTTGTTTACTTTGATGCAATAAATATTTTCTTTTCATGACCAATTTTGAACTGAATGAGTTATTACATCAAGCCTCCTAATTACAGCTCCAGTATCTGCAGATACTCCACTCCTGGATGTAGAATAGAGATGATCAATTCAACGACAGCCCTCTGCTTCACTGTCTGACTGCTGTGTCCCACACACCACAGTACCCCAACACCAGAGGAAATCTGTTTGTTACAGCCCAGGGAGGGATTTTTATTTTCCTTAATCAGCGGTATTTACAATGCTATCCAATGTGGTCACAAACTGGGAATCTGCAAACACGCTTACAAGTGAATGTGTGAGAATGTGCTGCTCTTCAGATGTGTATAGAAGGCAATAAGGAGGAAGTTCCCTTCCAGATGTCAAATCTTAACAAGTTCTTCAGAAGCTCTTAGTATTGTTTCCATTTCGCATGTCTAGTTTTGTTACATTGATTCATCATCCAGACAAGTTCTCCTTTTCTGGTACTGTCTGCACCTCGGCTTGGGGCAGATGGTTTAATGACATGAATTTAAAAGACAGAAATTGTGCTCTTTCCATTGGGCGAAATATTGGAGGGAACCTGAGGCAAGAGATTAACGTACCACCCCAGGGGGTTTCATTGATTATAATGTCAAATTATAGGTGTGAACCAAGTGAATGTGCTTTTTCAGGTTTTGGTACAGTAAGGTCAGTGTGATGAGGCATTGGCTAATGGCTGCCAGACCCCATTTCCAGGACACAGAAGAGGTGTGCAGGGCGGGTGGTGATGAGATGGGGAGAGCATCCTGATCGACCATTCAGAGGAGACAATCAGAGCTAATATGTGTGTCTTTGGGAGGAAACCTGAGCACCTGGCCAGCCCTGAGACCATAGGGAGAACATACAAACTCCACACAGACAGGAGCTCCTGGACAGAATTCATCTCAAGACACTGGATCCATGAGGCAGCAGTGCTCCTCTGCACTGCAGCCCACAGCCCACTACTGCAACGCACAACAGACAAACACAGAACAAAACTATCAACCTTTCATTATGTGAACTACTGTTATATTCCAGTTACAGAGGAGCATGCCAGACCAGCAGGTGGCACTGTTTCTTTCCGTAGCATTGTGGGGGCTGAGCTGCGGAGGCTGTGAGCTTGATCAGCAGTGAGCTGCTGTCATTCCAGCTGGGGAAGTCGCCTGCAGGAGGATTGAGAAATCTGTGTTCTTTCTTTCAGGGCGTGGCAGCAGGCAGGGACTACGAGCTGCGAGAGTGGTGTGTTTTCCAAGGGGGCGGAGTGGCAGGATAGAGAGTGCAGAAACACAAATCGCCATGCACCATGCAGGGCATGGAGTCCCTGTTCTAGCAGGAGAAACTGACCTTCGCAACACATTAGGCCAGAAGTAGTTAGTCTTAGAGTACTGAGTGTAATAATTATAATAATTCAGGTGGGTAGCTGCGTCAGGTGTGCACACCTGAAGAAGGCTCCACGGCCAAAACGTTGTGTTTTCTTTCTTCTTTTTTTCAGCATGGAATAAACCTATTACTTGTTCCATAATTATAATAATAATTGCTTACACTTATATAGCGCTTTTCTGGACACTCCACTCAAAGCGCATTACAGGTAATGGGGACTCCCCTCCACCACCACCAGTGTGCAACCCCACCTGGATGATGCAACGACAGCCAGAGTGCACCAGTATGCCCACCACACACCAGCTATCAGTGTGGAGGAGAAAAGAGTGATGAAGCCAGTTGATAGATGGGGATTATTAGGAGGCCATGATTGGTAAAGGCCAATATCTCATCTTTATATCTCATCTCAAGGACGGCACCTTTTTACAGTATAGTGTCCCCATCATACAGGGCCATTATGGCCCACACAGACTGCAGAGTGAGCACCCCCTACTAGCCCCACTAACACCTCTTCCAGCAGCAACCTTAGTTTTTCTCAGGAGGTCTCCCATCCAGGTACTGGCCAGGCTCACACCTGCTGAGCTTCAGTGGGTTGCCAGTTCTGAGTTGCAGGGTGATATGGCTGCTGGCAAGTATGTTGGGGAAGGGGGCTGCAGATCTGCACAGATATGTCAGAGCCGGGGAAGCTTCCTATGATGTAATTCATTGTCCAAAAAATGACACAAACTGGAAAATCATGACAGTAGATCACTGATGAGATAACAACTGAAAAACTGCAGGAAATGTGCATACTAACCCCGTAAGCAGCAACGATGTGCCCAGGTGCCATGCAGGCATCTGGCTGCTGTCTCACCCTCCCGTCTTTGCCAGGAGCTGCTCATAAATCACACCGGAGAGTCCTAACCTGTACCTGATCTAAAGGGGGATCTCCTTGAGTCAGTGCTGCTATTCCAGTGCAGTCCCCCAGTGCTGCCTTGCTTCAGCTGTGACTTGGGTCTGTATTGTATTGAGTCTGATGAGCACCTAACATTAACATGAAGCCCATTAGGGGGAAAGGGGTGTGGGCAGGGCGATGGGAAAGAGGATGAAGCTCTGACTCACCAGGAGATGGGCTCTCGGTGTGGCTGGGAGTAACTGGGAGCTGTCTGTCTTGTCTCAGACTGTGCTCTCTGTGCGAGCTGGCAGGCCTGGGCTAGCTGAGTAATTGCACTGAGGTGTGAGAAAAGCTGAAAAGCTTTAAAGAGCACAAAAACAAAGCAGAAGTGCAAAACCTGTCAGCAAAGTTTCTCTCTGAGTCTCTGAGTCACACTGTAGTATTACAGCAGTGCAGATGAGGTTTTCCTGGAAGAACATCAGCCCTCTGGCACATGTTTGGGAGACCTGCCTGGAAAGAGCCTCCCACTACAGCCTGCAGAGGCTCTTTCTAGAGCTCAGCTGGCCGGGGTCAGGATACTAGGGTCAGGATACTGGACAGTGGCCTGAGACACTGGCCTGAGACAGGCACTGAGAGAACTGCTAACCTTGACCCACCTGCTGCACTGAAGAACACAACCCTCCTCTCTGAATCCTGAGCACGGCATCAGCACAACATTTCACAGGAGTGCCAGACGATTCCTTGTCTAGCATACAGTGTTAAATAGCTTATCACTGAAAGGACGTACCATACAGTAGGGCATGTGAAGACTTTGAGATGCTTGTGGCTGGAAAATGCTAAATAAATGCAATTAATTATTTAAGAAATTTTGCTATAACCAGCAGCCCACCTTTGAGTAACCTCTCAGACAAGTGATTCTTGAGGTTCAGCGCTGATTGGAGGAGAGACACATCCCTCACCCACAGCATTCTGACTCTGCAAGTGTCCAGGAGACTGAGACTGTGTCACTAGGGCCTGAGAGAGTCCCAGATAGCTAAGCCCACAGTGGAATTAGTCAGTCACAGACACTTGCTGACATGAGCCAGTCTTGAGTTTGTGGTCATGGAGCTCGTCCTGCACACAAGCAAGAGCTTTAACTGCCTGAGCCACCTGGGAGGCCTAGTAGTCTGCTGCTTCCCGTTCTGAGACCATGTTGAGATTCTGTGACATAAAACTTCCAAGCCATTAATAAATGATACATTATTCATTCAAGTGTAGAAAATTTTAAACCTGCTTTCATTAAATTTAGACAAATAAAAGATCAGGAAGTCCAGAAATTTCTAGGTGCTCATGCTGGACAGTCAGAGTTTCCTGGGCCTCCGAGTCCTCTTCACCAGGCCCTGCGTGTCTGTGGCTGTACGGCAGCCTTCATGTCTGAACACGACGGGTCTTCCTTTCTGTGCTCTCATCCCACGCGCTGCAGCAGGTTGGCCCACGGCTGTTTCCCTACGCACCAGAAAGGATCAGGTTTCAGCCCTGGCTGACTGCAGAGTTCAGCTCAGCATGAATATGTTCGCACCTTCTAACTTCATCTGCTTCAAAACATTCCAGGAGTGTTTGCAAACCATAGTGCAGGAGGGTAGACTAGAATGTTTTTAAGAGAAGGGATCTGCACCCCATGAACTCCTGAAGTTGCCTGGGGCTGTGTGAAGGTTGTGTTTAACACAGAGCAGTCCGTTGGGAAGGGGCTGGTCAGAGCTGCACCTTGCTGTCCAGCAATCTCCTGGATTACAGGCTGGGCCACGCACACACATGTGGCATGCTGGAATGACAGCCGAAATAGACAATTTACAGCAACAAAGTATTTCTTCAGTGTTTACAAAAAGATTACATTAAATTACTTGACAACAAAGAATTTATGAACACGCTGTTTGGAATTGCAGATAGGATTTTAACTTTACAGTGGAAAGTCAAAAGAATGAGACTTGCACTGGTAGATAAGGAGGTGGCAAATTTCCTTCTGGACCAGATTTTCAAAATTAGTGCCCCATTATAGTGACCGATGACCAGTATGGTGCTGTAGGATGTGCCCACCTTTGCATGAGATGTAAAACTGATGTCCTGACTACTTACTGTGACACTCCATAAGATTAGGGGTGTTAACCTGTGCATCATGAAAGAATACAACTGTACTGTAAGCTTCAGCAATCCAGCCTCCTGAAAGTTCTCTTTAATGCACTTGGTGAAGCAATTTCTCAGTCCTCCCCCTCATCACCCAGTGGGGCTGCACTTCAGTGCTGAATGAAGTGAGTCCCCACCTGCATGTAAAGTGCTTTGAAATCTTTTTAGATGAAAATGCGAGATATATAAATGCGAGGAATGATTAGGATAATACAGTGCTTGTTACTGTAGTGCCTGCCCTCTGTATGGAGCCCTGCAGGGTGCAGAAGAGGCCTGTTCACACAGCTGAGCACCTCTCAGCTCCACTCTGGAATCCTGCCCTGTTGTCTTCTCTCTGTGACAATAGAAGCTGAGAGTGTGAGGTCTCCCGTCTGTCCTTTTCTCATTCACTTAACCTGCAGAGCATCAAGGGCCCTTTTCTCTGCCCACAGAAGCCAGCAGGCAGAGAGAAGACTCAGACCTCTGGGGGACCAGCACCCCTCCTTTCTCACAGGGGTGTGTCCACTGCAGCGATACTTGTTCTGCCCACTGGGGTGCCAGGTGTGTCTCGACTGACGCACAGGGGTGTCTGCGGGAAAGCTGAAATCTCAGACACACTCGAGTGCTGCTTGCTAATTACTAAGAGGCAGGTGCAGTGGATTGGCAAGAGGCCCAAATTGAACAGAACAGGATGGGAATGAGGATTTGATCACTTACATGCAAGGATCCCTGGTTCCTTTCCTGTCTGTGAGTGCGGCCTGTTTCCAGGTGTCATCAGACTCCAGCTTACAGCTCATCTTTAATGCATTACATGTGTGCCTACAGCATGAGCAGCTCATTTGTTAACACTTGTGTGCTGTATAATTCTGTTTATTAATGCATGTCTCTGGTTAGAAATGTGCTGAATTATTGATGGTGAACAACTCCAATTCACCCGTCATTCACAAAATGCTTCAAAAGGTTTAACTTGTGTGTTATTTAAAGACCTGGATTTTCAAGGATTGTTTTCCATGAATAAATTAATTTCTAAACACAGTGATGCTGCCCTGAAACTGAAGTGTGCGTGAGAGTGGTAAAAGGTGTGACAGTGTGGACAAATTAGTGCAGGTACGAGGTTTCAAGCGTAATGGGGAAAGTTTGTGTGGGCAGAAAAATCTGGAATGGCAGCTTAAGTTACATTATCAGAAAACATACTTTTGTCAAAGAAATCAAGTTATCCTACTTATAGTATGTATGGCTATTATGGTACTGAACACAGTAGATGTGGCACTGCACACTGAAAGTGAAGTGCACTCTAGCTTTGCTGCACAGAGACAAACTTTAAAAAGCAACTTCAGTGCAGCCAACTGGCTGTGAGACCTGTAGAGAAACACTGCAGCAGCAAGGTCAGCCTGAACCTGAAGGTGCTCTCTGGGACACCTTCTCCCACATCAGAGCCCTTATCAGCACAATGTCACCCTGTGAAAACTTTGCCCATGGGAGTATTTCCAGCAGCCCTGGGAGATATCCAGCAGGGGGGTGGTACTGTTTGATCTAGTTACTATCAGGGCAGGCTTCTGTTTACTCATTAACTCCCAGCCCATGAGGAAGTCAGTTCCTGTAGGAAGTGACATCACATGCACTCACTTCACAGATGGGCAGCACTGACTGAGCTCTCTGCAGCTGAAAAGAACTGTCTGCACTCCTATGGGCAGAGCAACATTGTGCTTCCATTCGAGCACAGCACACTGTTCACAGTCAGAACAGCACAACACAGTCTCTCACTGGAAATAGCCAGCAGCTATATCATCCTGCAACTCACAAAGGAAAACCCACTAAGCAGGTGTGAGCCTGGCCAGTACCTGGATGGGAGACTCCTGGGAAAAACTGAGGTTGCTGCTGGAAGACGTGTTAGTGGGGCCAACAGGGGGCGCTCACCCTGCGGTCTGTGTGGGCCCTAATGGCCCTGTATGATGGGGACACTATACTGTAAAAAGGTGCCGTCCTTTGGATGAGACATAAAACCAAGGTCGTGCCTCTCTGTGGTCATTAAAAATCCCAGGGTGTTTCTCAAAAAGAGTAGGGGTATAACCCCGGCGTCCTGCCTAAATTTCCCATTGGCCCTTACCAATCATGGCCTCCTAATAATCCCCATCTATGAACTGGCTTCATCACTCTGCTCTCCTCCCCACTGAGAGCTGGTGTGTGGGGAGCGTACTATTTTTAATAATAATAATTGAAATAACACAGAGTCCACTGTTGATACCAAAGAAGCACTGGCACACCAAGACAAACAGACTGAAGCATAAATCTCTTGTGATTGGTGTTTCTGTAGAAGGCTCCAGTGTAATGCAGAGGCACTGTCGCACCAACTCTGAAGTCAGTGAGCGGCAGACCACAAGCTGATAACTGAAAGAAGTTAATAAAAGTATAGTTTCTATCTCTTTCCATCTGTGTCCTGTACTGTGCAGGATAGGAGCATGCATCCCGTGCTCTCTTCTGGGCCGGAGGTCCAAGCGGCAGAGGGTGGTGGGTGTGAGGTTCAGCAACCCTGGATCTCCTCTCAGTACTCTGGCAGTGCTGCCCAGGGACAGTGTTCAGAGCACTCCTAGGCCACCTGTCAGGTGTTCTGCCTGGTCTGAATGAAGGTGACAGTGTGACTCTCCTAGCAGAAGGAACAGCAGTCCAGCTGTGAGGACAGGCTGCCCAACCCCTCACACACACCTCACTATAGCAAGGATTGAGCCAGGGAAGACCTGGGTGAGACTTATATACAGTACATACAATACAAACAGTAAGTGAGCAGAACTGTCTGAGATCAGGATCTAACCTTCCACCTGAAACTCCATTAATAAGAATAATAATTAATAATAATTAATAAGCCAAACCAGCTGATACATACAGGAATATCTTGGCAAAACTGGTTTCCAGTTTCCTCATTAACATGACATAATCCCAAATCACTGTTTTCTGTGGACAGGGGTTTGGTGCGAGAGGAGATGAGGCAATGAGGATATTTATACAAAATTATCATCATTTGTCTTGAGTACCTAGTAAACCATGAGTGTTTGTAAAAGCATTCGGGGTTTTAGAAGTGAAATTAGTTATAAGTACCTGGCTGCTATATCTAGATCAGTGTAAGGCCTGAGCAAGGACTGTATCTCTGACCAGAGAATCCTGCATGGTTATCAAGCACAACCATCCCTTCACCACATTGCAAACTGGTTTTCTTCTGTGTTTTTGTTTCTTTTGAAACTGAATATTTAGGGGGTGTTTTCCGATAGTGAGTTTATTTAATCATTCAGGAGTTCTTGGTTTTAAATCCATTCCTTAGGCAAGTGGTGACATTACACCAAGATCGCCGATCCAGTAGAGCAACTTTTCCATTTCGACAGCTGTGAGACACACCCAGCAGCAAGGAGGTGAGAGAGCTGCTGTCCTATATGATGATCTGTTTTAAGAAACTGATTCTCACAAGCATGTTTCATTCGATCTGATAAAGAAACAACTGAAAGGGAGTTCCTTCTAACAACAATGCCGTAAGGAGTGCAAAATGGCCTTTTCTCATTTGTAACCTTTGTTATTTTAATAAAATCTATGAGAACTGCTGCTTCATTTTCCAAAAAATAAGCTTGCACTCTGCCCTTTCAATTAGAAAAAGTCGCTCAATATCTCAGGACAATCAAGCAGGGTGGCCAGGGGTTGCCCTAAAATTGTCATGATTGTTACCGTTGCTTATTAGGCGTTAACGTTGAAAGAGATCACTTCAATCAGAATTGACATTCCGCACAGAACTTCACCTTCTGATTTTACTTTTTCAACTACCGGAGTAGAGAAGTGTTTACACCACCCACACCAGCAGAACCGCGGTGCGGGCAGGCGCTGGAAAGTCTCTGTGCGCCGCTGGGCTGGGGGTGCAGTTTAAAAGGTAAAAGGTCAAGGAAGAGAACATTCATGTTGAAGAAAAACAAACAGCACGCTGTATCGACCGAGAGCCGTACACCTCTGTGAGGAAAGGTGAAGGCACGACAGGGGGAGGGGGGAGAGAAACACACCTCCAGTCACTTCCTGGGACCAAGAGCTCCGGCAGCCCAATCACACCGGGCCGTAGAGGTGTTGGATGTGTCGTGTCCCACCCTTACCTCTCGGTATCAGCCAATGGCCTAATTCCGCTGGGAGATTGATTTCTAACCCAGGGGCTGAGCTAAGCGCAGGTAACTCAGGGGAAAAAGTAGAAGAAGAGAAAAAAAAAGCCTCCGGCGCTTGTTATGGTGTTAACGTGAAAGAAACCCGGATTTTTGTCGGCTACCAGTTCGACCAGTAACGCTGGAAAGAGCGCACACGCGTTTCGGATCAGGTAGAGTCTGCGGCCGCGCTCTTCAGAGTCGTGTAGTCTGTGAAAACTCTCCTCTTTTTTCTTTTCCTTTTGTTTGTAATTTCAGTTTAATTTCCAGATTTGTGTTCTCTTTTGTTTTTTTTTCTCTTGTCACTCGGAAAGAGGTGAACCCTCGTGTTGTTTTTATTTGATCTTTGCTTTCAATTGTAGTTTCTCTCCTTGTGGTCCCTGATGGCTTCGCACAGTGATACTCTGGTGGTGTTCTTTGGGCAAACAGCTGGTGCAAATGGGGGTAGACTGGGTTCGGATGAGAGGGAATTAATTCTCTTGGTGTGGCAAATTGTGGATCTGCAGGAAAAAAAGGTACGAACTGTCTGACCTGATTCGTGTTTCTCTTAATACTTGTGTGTTGGCAACTGCCCTGTATATAAGAAAGGTACCCTTTTTGTAACTTTGTAAAGGATATTATTCGCCAATGTGTGAATAATGTTGCGAAATGTAGCAAACTATGAAGACATTATAGCTGGGTTTGAGGTTCTTCTGTTCAAACCGGACAGTAATCGGTCACATAATCCGACAGGGGAGGGTGTCCTTGTTCGCTTGTCCAAAAAGCTAATAACAAAACGGTACCTTTTGAGTCTTCTCGGCACAAACTCCGTTGAAGACTCGGGACTGCCTGTGCAATTTACTGCTTTGCTAGCAACCATGCAGCTGCAACGTGTAATTGAACTAATTGGTATCTCAGCCGTGCGGCTGTGCTCTTGTTGGGCGCAACAGCATTTTTGTTAGAGGAGTAAAGCCGGGTGTATCGGAGCAGCCGATCCTAGCTTTCACCCGTGGGTGAAGCGCCCACAAAACGGTAACGTGGACCTGAATGCGTGCTGTCTGTTGACAGGTGGGAAAGCTACACCGCTGTCTTGTAAAACCGGACACTTTGGAGCTGACGGAGGAGTGTAAAGAGGAGAGCGGGCTGACGCTGGAGGAGCTGTGTAAGGCCGAGCCCCTGGACAGAGCTCTGCAACAGGTGAGCACCGTTCTGGGCGACGAGAGGGGACCTGTGTCCATCTATCTCCCGCACCATTTCTTGGGGAGATAACACGCGAGCTCTGGGTGGGATACACAGAGATAACAATCGCTCCGGGTATTACTGGTTGAAATTGTGGCCTGTCTAATTTGATTCTATTAGGCTGCCTTCCATTCATAAGCCATTGCAGTAAAATAAATATGTTGTTCTAGTCGGCATGGAAGTGTAGCTGTCTGTCTTTTTCAAACAAATGGGCCTTTCTTACGAAAGAAACCGAGCCCTTCCTGGTGTCTGAGAAACCTGTCTGACAGCTTAGCACTAGAGGTCATTGCTGACATACCTGCAGGGCAGGATTCTGCTGATTTCACAGCACGCACTCTCGGGGAGAAGCCTGAAACAGTGACAAGACTGTTCTTGTTACAGTGCGCCGGCATTTAACTTACAGATAGTCTTGAGGAGTTCGTTTGTTGTTGATTTCACCACAAATGTTTTGTTCCCTTCATGCCCTATGGTGTGTTGGCATGAACACCTACCTAGGTTTGCAGTGTCCTTTCATGAGTGATGCTGTGAGACAGCAGGTTCAAGCTCAGCACACAGGGGGCAGCGCAGTTGAGTTTGTGAGGGGACATACAGATCAGAGTACAGGTGCAAAAATGTAGCTGAGACTTCTCTTTCTGTTACCCTTGTTCAAAAGCGAACAAGGTGCTGCCCTTCTGTTGTGATTTAATGGGCCTGCAGGAATATTCCTTTGGGGGAAAACTGTTTGTTTTGAGCCAAAGGTAGTGTGCATATTCATGTAAGTTATTTTCCTTTGTTGTAAAATGCACATTATTTTAAAATTCTTGACCAAAGGAGTTTTTGTAATTGCTGCATTTATTTATAGTTTTAGTTTCACATCCTATATCTGCCAAGGGGCACACAGGAAAGGTGGCTGGGACTGTCTGTGATGTGGTACTTGAAAAGCACTGAGGGCCAGCAGGTGTGCCAGTGTCTCTGGAAGAGGAGGTCCGCAGGCGTGCCAGTGTTTCTTT